AGAGTCACTGAAAACAAATTAACAAAAATCATTTGTAGTATACTTTTTTCATGCAGGAGAACTTTAAAAAATAGAAAGCATATTAAAGTCAGGAAAAAGGCAATTAAATTATTTAGGACAACTTAGAACATTTTACTCATGCATAAGTAAATCCAAAACATACAATACAAATAGTTGTAATCCATTTTTTATTTATTTAAAGGCATACGTCTAATCATCAGATTAATGGCTTACATATCCACTTTTGGAAAAAAATGGATTCCATGAGCAACAATTTTTACAAATTTAGATTAAACATGTACTGTTGTTGAATCTCTTACAATACAACCTGTTAGGGATGTAATCCTAGTCTTGGGTTGGCAATATTGCCAACCCAAGACTAGAATTACATCCCTAACAGGTTGTATTATAAGAGATTCAGCAACAGTACATGTTTAATCTAAATTTGTAAAAATCGTTGCTCATGGAATCCATTTTTTTCCAAAAGTGGATATGTAAGCCATTAATCTGATGATTAGACTTATGTCTTTAAATAAAAAAATGGATTACAACTATTAGTATTGTATGTTTTGGATTTACTTATGCATGAGTAAAAATGTTTTAAGTTGTCCTAAATAATTTAATTGCCTTTTTCCTGACTTTAATATGCTTTCTATTTTTTAAAGTTCTCCTGCATGAAAAATGTATGCTACAAATGATTTTTGTTAATTTGTTTTCAGTGACTCTGGTAAAATCTTCAGTTAGCAGTGATCAATGGGTAGCCCCATGTGCCAGAAAACAAGATTTCCTTTTAAAATAATTAGTGATCCCACCCATAAATGTATATTGTTTGGCTGCCAATGCCTAAGTGGATTCTGAACGAAGTTTTTTGTGCATCATCCGAAAATTAATAATGGGGAAACAGTGTTGTGCTGCTTTTCAAGAAAAATCCAGGGAAGCTGATAATAAGTTGACTTTTAAAATATAGATAATATAGAATAGTTAAAGAAAACAACAAGCAGCAAACTGAAAATAATCCCCTATTTAGCAGAAAAAGACGCATAAAATATAAGTAGTATTGGACTCTAGATTTCAGGATATACAGCTTTTAAAAGAAAACCTTTTGATTGGCTACCAAAATACTAGCTATTTTCACTTAATCATCACAGAATAAAAAATTAGTGTAGTCTTAAGATCAGGAGACTTTCAGAAAGATGTTCTTGCTTTACTTTGTTTGTGGTTTCCACAGGAGATTCCTGGACTGTCGAACAACTTCGAGGCAAAAGCAGCGACGATCTGCATAAGCTTTGGTGAGTGTTTCTTTCTATGATTTAAGAGACCTGTCTGTCCTTGTGACAAGCTATTTGGAGAACTGCTTACCCATTTCAAAAATATGTATTAGATTTCATTTGTAACCACAAAACCTTTTGCTCTTGTCATGTCTCTAGATATTCAGAAAACTATACATTTATAACTCAGATACTATGAGGGAAGTGTCAATGGAGAAACTGTGACAGTGATGTAGTACTTCAGGGGTTGGAGTAGGGCCAGGTAAATCCCGTTAGCTGGAAAAGTGACCCGATGACTGAGTAGAACATTACCTCTCAGTCCAACCAATATCATCGGATTACTATGGGAAAAAAATGAAGGAGG